CCCCCGCTCCCCGCCCCGCCACATCCCCGAGGGGGGTGAGGGATGGCGGGGAACTGCGGTCAGCAAGGCTGGCCGGACCCCCGAGGGGAGAGCGCCCGCAAAAGGGCCCTGTGCACCGCAGCGCACCCGCGGTACTCGCACACGCCAGGCCCCGGTCCCCCCTTACGCACCCACAGCGCCGTGAGTACTTACTGCCTTGTGAGGCTCCTTCACCTGAGGCAGCTTCAGTGTCTGCAAAGAGAAAGAGCTGCACTTAGATCTGATGGCCAACTCTGCCCCACGTCCGACAGCGCGGGGCTGCGCCTCGGCCGTCCCCAGCACCTCACTTGCTCACTCTCCTCTGGCCGCGGCTCTTCACCGCTGCGGCACCCCGCCATCACGGCCCGCGATGCCCAGCCGAGAGCACCCGGGAGCGGCCGCCCCTGTGAAAGGCGCCGGGCTCCCTCGGTGGGACGGCAGCTGCCGACAGAGCGGGCTGTGAAAGGCCGGCGGCCCTTACCGGGGGCAGGCTGCGGGGCCGAACCGGGCCACCTCAAGGGCTGGTTGTTGAAACGCAGCTGCCCGCAGTCCTTAGGAAGAGCCTCCAAAACTGGGGCTCTCGTTTTCTGAGTTGTGGCAGGGCCCTGGTTTCAAAACAGGATGGCAAAAGGGACACCCCTACGCCAGCCCTGCATGGAGGAGCTTCAGGGAGCCCTAGGAGGGCTTTGGAGAGGCGCGGGGTGCGAGGGAGCGCCTGCCAGCGCGGCTCGGCACAGCCGCCTGCCCGCTGCGCCCAAGGAAAGCCCCTGCCACCCCGCCTCTCGCCTCAGGCCGGCTTCTCTTGTGGCTCCAGGCGGAGGGGCCGTGGCTGAGGCGCGCACAGACTGGACTGACACATCCTAATGGTCCCGCTGTCATTAATGGAGCTCACGACAATCAGTTTCGTAATTTCTACTGAAGGTTTGGTGAAATCTCTCATGCGCTTAATTCCTGGGCAAGTGCCGTCAACCCAGGAAAGCAAACAGCGAACAGCGCACCCAGCTCAGCCTCCCACGGGAGACAGCACAGCCTGCGCCAGTGCCGTGCCTCCCCGTCGCAGACAGCGATGGCAAAGCCTCTACAAGAGATGGGCCACAAGAATCCCCCCCGGGGCTATTCTGTCCTGGTCCTACTGAAGGCACACATGAAAAGATACAAGAAAAAGCTCCCTTCGCTCTAACACGTGGGACCGCAAGAAGCACTCAGCAAAGATCACGTTCAAGCCCTAAATGAATGCAATGGGCAAAGCTACAAGCTGGAAAACAAAACCCAATGTTACAAGTCAAAGATCATAAATGATTAGGATTTCCAAGCCATTTTGAAGTGTTTCATATTCATCCTAAATTGCATATACTGTATGTCACATTATCTAATAACATAACTTCGTTTCAAAATATTCCGTATGTCTCTTGGCATCACGCTCGCATTGCTCTGAAAACCACAGCTGCGGAATGTCACAGCATTTTTGAATTTAAAATTTGCAACCTTAAGTAATGAACACTGTTTGCGTTTAATTTCCTTATTTCTTAAAAATAATAAAAACAAATGATTGTGGGTTTGTGAATTTGTACATTTCTACTTGATTAACCTGCCTGATTACATCACTTTTCTAGGCAACAATATTAATTTGGCACAACTTCATAAACTGAGGGGCCAGATCAGAAACCCTCAGTATCATTTGCAAAACCTCGCCAGTCAAACCCCTGTATTTTTCCACAGCTGCTACTTGTTTGAATTACCACCTATCACTCAAGGCAAAAGCTAGCTGTGGCACAAAGGAGTTCTGCAAAATACTGTCCCAGCGTTCATAGACAACGGCATAAATAAACCATATAAGATATGTACTATGCGTGCACCAGGCCATTTCTGTCATTGAAATAGCTTTAAAAAGTACTTTAGTCAAACTTAACAAGAATTAAGCAACACAGAAAGGTTTAAGGAGCAGCCATTTCTGAACTGTATTAAGAAATGTTGTTATTCTTAGTCATAAGACAGACCAAAGTCTTAATGAATTTTAAAAAACCCCTAAAAATCCCCTAACAGCCCACTCTAAATCACCTTTGGGCTGAGACCAAGTAATTACAGCTTTAAAACAAAAGACCAATTTCTGAGAAAGTTGCAGAAGTAAGTGAGAGTAGGGAGGTCGGCAGGAAAGCTGGAAAACAAGCAAGTTAACTCCTGTGTCTCAAGTAGCTTTCTGCGCCTCCGATAAAAATCTGCTGCAGACTGGGAGATGGACACAGTACAAAATGGATGGTTGGGATGCAGCACAGGGGGCAAAGGACCCCCCAAAAATCCTGTGATGATTTTTCAGTAGCGGATAATCATACGAATGAAAACCAACTTTCTTCAGCTCCGAAACACCATCTCTCCTCAGGAATGGTTATTTTGCTATGAATTTTCAACTTCTCACCTCAAAATGGTTTCAGTCACAGAACTGCTTCAACTCAAGACTCCAAAAATGTGCACTTTGGAAAAACGCATTTTTCCATATTCACAGTTCGAACGAGTCATCTTCCTTTTCATATTTTTGGAATCAAGCAGAACCCATTCTTGGAAAATAGTAATAGGAAAATTTAAAAGCTTTGAGAAGGTTTTTAACAATTGCTTAAATTAGAAACCTCACCTGCAGAGAACAAGCCTACTCTAGTGCGTTCAGCATCTATTCGGACGACGGCAGACCAGCCCCTGGGCTGGCACACCCATGCCGGAGGGTACCGGAGAGCGGAGCGGTTCGCAGGGAGGCAATGCAGCAACTAAATAATGTCAATAAATAATAAAGAAAAACAACTCGAGCAAAATCATCATTCAGCCCAGAAAAGCTTATCTGGAAACAGAGAACTTCCACCAATTATTAGGACAGAGATGATATATCCTGCGAGGGTTAAACTCGAGCCTTGCTCTTTTCTTTCATTTGCTTTCTGAAGAATTCTCCTTTGGGTAAAAATCTCCCTTGCTTGGCCTCAGCCCAGAGGTTTTTAAATTTACTGTTTGAAAGTCTAATAAAGTAATTTCAGCCACTTTTTTGAGTTATCTAAAAGTGAAATAATGTTCCTGACTCAAAACATGCAGATGTTTTGCTGCTCATGTTGCTTAAATACGACCCAAGCGTACAAAACAAAACTTTCTAGCTGACTAACTCCTGAAGGGAATCCAAATCTTTTAATGACTTGAAAAACCCCACACAGCTAAACAAAAAGCACTGTAAGCAACGCATTTTTAAGGCCTGGGTTGCATGTAGGCGAAGCGGTAACGTTCATCAGCGCCGATCGCTGGGACAGAGCCTGCCATCGCCACCGGGAACGCGCAGCCTTTCTGCTCCGGCTGAACTCCAGCAGCTCTGCAGGAGGAAGGAGCTGAGATCCTGCAGGGCTGCACAGCAGCTCACAAAGGAGCCTTTCAGCTCGACAACGTAACTTTTTTTGTTGGATTTCTTTTTTATTTGTGCTTTTCGGGGAGGCACAGGGGAAGGAACGCAACCTTTTCATCTCTTCCTGGATAAAACGTAGTGAGTAAATTTCTTACCTACGTTTCTGATTCTTTGCAGAACCCTTTACACGGGGTTTTCCGTGCCTGCATCTCGGCTTTCAGAGCAAAACAGAAAGGGAGCTTGCCCCTGCGAGGCAGCACGTCTTGAACAAGAGCTGCCTCAACCCTTTACACTTGCAAACTGCCAGGAGATCAGTCGCTCCCTGAAATTCTCCAGCCAATGCCGAGAACCACAGGGAAGGCTCAAAAAACTAAGAAAATGCCCTGTTTTCCAATAAGAAACCACCCGTTCCTGAAGGCAGACAAGAAAAAAATCAGCCTAAAGAACACAGGTCACTGCCAACACAGCTTCTCTACCATGGAGCTCTAGAGGAGGCAGGTGCGGATATAAAAAAAAAATCTAGGTAATTTCTCCCAAAAATGATCATTACAACGAAAAACGTGATGTCACCAGTGCGAGAATCTTAATGTGGCACTGAACAGCTCAAAGGATAGGAAGAATTTTAAGTTTTGCACAGGGCAAAGCAAGCGGCTGACAAGTAAGGACCAACTGCAAGAGCAGAGAGGGCGACAGACCTCCCACCCACGCTGGCCACGAGCTGCAGCCCCAGGCTCCCCTGCTGCAGCTCCAAACTGGACACTGAGACACAAAGAAACCAGCTTAGAAATAACCCCGTTGAAAGCAAGGACAACTTGAGACCTCCAAACCTCCCATCCCGGGGACAGAAGTTGTGTCACTGAATGGTGACAGTGGGGCTGGCTAGACAGATGGTTTTTTCAGTTGTTCTGCCCCAAAATTCCAAACCAGATCAACACGATTGCTGTCTGCTCTCCCATGGGCTGAACGTTTTGCATCACCAGCTCTGTCCATCTGCAGGACCAACCCACAGCTTGGCCAAGGACCGTTAGTGGCACAGGAACCACACAAGAAAGCAAAAAGCAGAGGGCTACTCAAGGGGAAGGGATGCATCCTTCAGCAAATCACAAAAAGCAGATATTTCTGCTTGAATGCCCAAAAAACCCTGGAAGAAAGCACCTGAAGAGAAGAAAAAGGGGCCTGACTTCGTTCTAGCTACCCTGATGCTGTGTGGTGAGTTTTCCCAGGATCACTCAAACCCTCAGGGAAAGGCAGATGTTAGGTGACTGACGGGCGGCCCAGACGTCGGGGAAACCGCATCTGACGCTTGGAAAATGCATCAGTCGAAGAGGGAATGCCAGGTCCTGCCACTGCAATACGGCTCCTTCCTTGCCCAGCCAAAAATAAATGACTAAAAGATCCAGATGTGAGTTTCTGGCAGCTGATAACTGCATGTAATAGGCCAAGGCAGCTCACTTTTCAGTGCTTCGAGGACAAGCAGACCTAGGAGAGCTGGCTTGCCAGTGCCTTGGGGTTTTATCCAAGACAGGGACTGAAGATACGCAGGGAGAACAGGCAAAGTGCGGAATCACATCCTCAGTGTCCGTGTAACCACCGAGTTCTCTCGCATTTGTTACGATGGTGCAATACCAGCCACTTCTTCTATATGAAACCTTAGATACGTGTGGCAATAAAAGCATCTTTCACCAAAATGTCTTTCCGTCCTGCAGTCTTACACTATTTCCAGCATTGTTACTGGTACAGCTCCATGTACAATTCTCACTGGATAATATCACACAGGGCTTTCCTCCATATAATCCTTTCCTTTTCTTTCCTAACTACACATTACATGCACATTCAATGGCAGGTTATGCCTCTGCAGACAGGCCTGCTTCCCGACTGCTGTAACTGCCAGCTCAGCTTCTGTTCCTGGGAGAATCACATTTACAGAGTTGCATCGAGTTTCAGGTTGATTTCTTGTTGAGAAGTGTACATGAATAAATATCTCATTTTGATTTTTATTGTCTTAAGGCAATTCGAATGCATTTTAAATGTTACTACTACATGCATCAATTTACAGCAACATAAAACAACATTTTCTAAGTTTCACGTATATCGATCGTGCTTCTCCACCACTGATGTGAAAATTACTAATAAGTTTCCACATTCAGAATTTTGAAAACTTCCATCTTATATAGCTATATATAAAAAAGGCTTTGGAAGCAGAAGGTAAAGTCATGTCTCCGCGGAGTTCATGACAAAACTATGGATATCAGTTGTGTATGAGTATGTTGATGCATCCAGACCATTTAATATATAGCTTGATTTCATGATCAAAATATAAATAAATGTATAAATACAAATCAATTGGACCACACACTGGGAGGTGACCTCATACTAATATAGCTCCTAAAATTTCAGCTGAATGAAGGATCCCAGAGTGCTTGGGGAAGAGAAGTAAAATAAAAGCAATCCTTGTCCCAAATCTAAATACTGCAATTATTATTGCAAAATCATTGCAATGCTGTAATGCAACAGCAAAGCATTCTGCATGTCAGCAAGTCACTGCTGCTCGTTATTATTTTAGGGACTTTTTTCCTTAAACTGCATAGTGAAGCTACTTTGTAGTTACATTTAAAGGACTTTTAGGAATTTTGTTGGTATTTAGAAAGGAATACCAGCATCGAAAAACAATTCTGCATGTATCTAAGGATACAGAAGAAGCTCTGTGATGTTAAACAGCACAGGAGAAATATGCAACCATGCAATTAAAGGATGTGTTACGAGACTGCGAAAACCTGAGAAGTTAAGCATGCATGTTCACGTTTCAGCTGTGCATTTGCTGACTTCTGAGAGTTTACACATTTAAAATTTAATACTGCATTAGCCTTCGTTATTCCTGGATTTTCAAACTTTTCACTGGGAATTTCCTTTATGCTCCTTTAGACATTCCACGCGACCGTTTTATTGAAGACCACGTGCGCCAATACTGCTAGTTAAACTGGGGAGCTAAAGCAGATGCTCCTACGAGTCTGACGCACAGACTTCAGTGCTCAACTCAGGTGAGAGAAAATAAAACCACCGGAAGGCTCACGAGCTAGTTTCCAAGTCCCTGTTGGTCTGTTATTTCAGATACGTATTTCTCCAAATTATACAAACTATGCTAATTGTACAAAACACCAAGCAAAACTTTCACATTTCTGCAATTAAGCCAAGTCGAATTGGGCAGACTTCCAGAAAATTCAAATAAAGTCACTTCTAAGATATTCATGAGATATTTCATACAAACAGTACGTTTGGAAAGTGACCTCAGCTGACAGCAGGGGTACGGGGGTGAGCTCAAGTATCTTCTTGAGTTTAACATAAAACTGCAGCAGTATAGCCGTGCCAATATCCGACTTGACAGCCTCCCATCCTGATTTCAGTAAATATTGCACCCAACGCAAGAGCTGCTCCTGACCTCGGAAGAAATATTGCTGGAGTAGAGAGCCACAACGCTTAGACAGCCCCGAAGTTTATCCCATGAATGGGCCACCCGAAAGAAGAATTAGTGACAAACAGAGAAGCAGCAGAGCAATCTTGAAGGCCTTCCCCAAAATTTCCCTGAACCTGAATGTTACCCCAGGATTCCCAAAGATTTGAGCAGGAGTGAGATACCTCTATGCGCTCGCACATGGGTCTGGAAACAGTTGTAATACTTGTATTTCTTCCCACATATTCCACACTCATAAGACCCTGAAAAACAAGACAGAAAAGTATACATCACCATATGAGATCAGGAAAAACAGCCTCGCCGCGTACTTACCCGTAACCCGGGGACAAAAGAATGCAGTTTGCAGCAAAGTCATTTTGGGAAGGTTCATGGAGATAAATGCAGGAAATCGCTATCCCGGACTCAAGTCTTTTTTCAGCCTTATTTAAGATTCCTTGGCATATTACCCCGAACTTACATTTTCACTATATCTTTATAACTTTGCTAACATGAAAGGGTCACTCTCAAAATAGCCTGACTTATAATTTTATAATAATGACTAATATTTCCTATGGACAGAAATAACCTTGAATTACTTTTCAGTAAGCTCCTAGTATATGGGAAAAAAAGCTTTTCAACTGAAAAAAGAAGGCAATATGTTATCTTGAGGCAAGGAGTTTTCAAAATTTCTCAAGAAATGCACAATGTACAAATTTCTCAAGAAACCCACAGAGATTTGGTAAATACCCACCCAGAGGAAACCAAATAGATACAAATAGAACTTTTGACCTTTTTAAGGAAAAGCACATGACCACAGTCGTCTCTCTTCTCAATTTGTGTCTCTAATTCCAGAACACACACATCTGCAAACAGTCATTTGAAATGAAACCAGAGAAACAGAGCTGGGAGAATCATTTGTAATGATGAAATTATGCAACGAATTTAGCCTCTTCTATTTATTGGACAGGCTGACAGAAATTTCCTTAGATTTGTTATTTAAGTTGATTCAACCTTTTTTTTCCCCCACTCCAACTTAGTCAACAGGCTATAAATTCACCTTTCAAGCTCTCACTTGGAAAATGCATTGCATTTCTTAGCTGTCTATCAGCAGCTAAGTAACCGTGATCCTATCTGTGCTCCTCAGCAGGGCGAGAGCAGCACTTAGTGGAAGAGGACGTGGGAGAAAGAAGGGCCGAATATTATTTTGTGTGAACGGAGCATTTCATTTCCATGGACGCTTCCTCATGCGCCCTTGAAACAATCTTTTCCTGACCATGCAAAACAGTAAAGCTCAGGGATGAGCCACAAACAAGAACAAAACATTCACACGCACATCCAAATAAATATTCCCCAACATCCTATTACAGCAATACTTACCCAGTGCTGCTCAAAGCAAGCTCTTTCCAGGAACAAAACCAACCGTGTTTTTTGAACATGCTATACCTGTGTTCTTTTTTTCCCTTCCCACGCCCTGTTGCTTACAGCTTGGGAAGAAAACAACCATCCTTCCAGTCTGTACCAGCGCTGAATTCCCTGTCCATCGCTGTTAGCATCACCTGGGACTGTCTCTTGAGCTTGGGAGGCTACTTGGTCATTGATGCTGAAAGCTGCAATTCGCTACAGTCCGATACACAAGAGTACACATCGGAAAACATACTCTAAAATACTGATATTATAGTCAGTTGGCTACGTCTGATCTGCTCCATAGTCTTTTAATTATCACAGCTAGTTGTATTTTATATATAGATATACATATATGAGACAGTCATCACCCGTGGTCACTCCACACAAGCTTTTCTAAGTGAAATCCTGGGTATCGGCAAGTCGGCAGCATCTGCCAGCCCTCATTTTCCATGCCCAAGGACTGATTATATTCATCGCCAACCTCCAAAATTCTTTCCTGAAAACTGTTCCAGCTGGAGCCCCAAAGCAGCACCGCCAGAAGATGAGCGCACTCACCATCGCTTGGACCCTACCAACCACTAACCCTGGGCAACAGCTGAGGTTCAGCTGTACCAACAGCAAAACACGACTGACGCCCACCCGTAGCCCGAAACAGCGCTGCCTGGACACAGAGCACTGGGAAAACAGATAAAAATCAGTGAGGGACTCTAGGTTGAAATTTTTTCCGATTTTTCTTATATTTCCCCCTTCCTCTGGAGATAGTCTATGGCACATAAATGCATTTGGTTGTGCAGAAGTTCTTCAAGAAGAGTATAACCTGTACAAGTAACTGCGTAGTGCCTTCCCTCTCCAAGATGAGGTGCTGCAGCCCTGATGCAAGGGCTGTGCCTGGAAAGCGAGGGCAGGAGACGAAGGCAGGAGAGGGACTGGCACGTCCCATGGCCAGTGCTTTTGTGCGGATGTCCTGAAGCACCCTAGTCTCAGGTGCAACCCGGGAAAGGCCGGAGTCATCTTCTTCAACGGGGGTACCTCTACCCACCTCCTACGCACGGACGGTAGAGCACTGACCGAGGAGGACAGAGAGTTTGTGGAGGGTGTAAGGGAGGTGCATTACAGATCTAAAGGCCTGCAGGCGCCGAGACAACTCAACAGCCACAACTGTCTACTCGGCACACCACGTTTCGGGGGGCAAAGGCACAGATCCTCATATTAGAGAAAGGAGGGATGACTTGCCACAATAAACGCGTTATCAGAGCGGAGGAAAGATGAAGGGGAAAAAATAAAAGACGTCGCTCCGTGTTAAGGCCTTACAAAGAACATGCCTGTGTTGCCTTGGACACTGCCACCGTGGTCATGGTTTATCTCGGACTTTGTCCACACCAGGATGTGTCATGCAGGTTAAAGCTGTTTGTAGTGGGAGGGGAGATGGGGAAGGTTCTTGGTTAGTTGGTGCATTCAGTGTTGCCAGGCTTTTCCTGAGCCTTGCAGCTGGAATTTGGGCAACACACGCGTTGCATCCAGAGCTTTCCCTTGCTCCCTGTTAGACTTTCACACCTTTCATTCACATACCAGACGTGTATCTCAATGCATGGTCAAAAATCCAGGTCCCTGAATATCGATTTCGTGTATGTCCAACAGGAGAGCCACATTGCACTGCTTTTCCATCTAAATTGTGCAAAAAAAAAAAAAATCAGAAAAGAGCCCTAAAGTGGATGCATTTCCAAAGAATAGTGATGGCTGAAGCCTATTAAAAATTTCCAAGACCCGTCTGTCCCTGTGGCTTGGTAACAAGACGTCAGAGGTCACACAGAGTTTCTTAAGGCTTCTGCAGCTCTCTTTTATTTGGTACAACTAGGGAGAATCCAAAGTGCTCTTGAATTACGTGTGCTGAGCAGCTCAGCAACTGAGACGTCAGCATCATGGCATGAATCAAGCGTGTGCATGTTAGACTGATAGCCTCAAAGCAGAAGGATTCACTCTTCGCTTTGTCTCCAAAACATTTCTGATTTAACGCATTACTTGAAAAATCCTCTCCAAAATGTTTCTGGTAAAGCATGGACCAGATTGAGAGCTTAGATAATCTTGTATAAAACGTCTCCTGATCAACGTGCAGATAACTCAGTCCTCCAAAACACAAATACTGACCTGATGGTATTCCCAACATTAGAAAATGATCCGTATCAGCCAAATAGTCTCTCCGCCTTTCTCTTGATTTACAACGCAAGCGCCTTTTTTTTTCCCCTCTCCTTTCTAGATCGCTTAGGGTGGACTTCCCTGCCTTTTTGCCCTGACACCCCTGCCCTGAGAAATGTTAATGTGTTGGAGCTCTTCACGTGACCCTGGCCCAAGGCCAGCATGTGAAGCTAGCAAGAAAACAGAAGAAAAGAACAGGAAATATTGCCATCTCGGAGCTGTGCAGGGTGAGAAACGCACCCCCTGCGAGGCAGGGAGACCCGGCGGTACCGCGGCGGGTACAGGTCGGTGGACGGGGAGGAGAGCGGGATCTGCAGCGGCAGTATCAGTCTGCTCCGGACCGGACACAGGGATACAGCCAACTGCTCTGTTGGCTTTCTTTGCTCGGGATGCCCAAAGTGGGACCCCACAGGGCTTGCAAGACTTCTTGTAGAAACGCAGATGAAAGGGAAACGGTCTAAACCCACAAACATCAGCACCGGCTCTTCGGCTGGGGGACTGCAGCCACTGCCACCACCCATCCCGCTTCGCTGCGTCCGCTTTCATCCATCGCAGGGTTTGGGCTGCTCCAGACGGATGGAAACGGAGTCTGGAGGAGTCCAAAGCACAGGGAGAGACATGCAAACGTGTAACCAAACAGGAGGTGGCATACACAAGGCCTAATTTGATGAAAACACGACAAGCAAATAGCAGCAACTGAGCTGGGAATCCCTGTTATAAATTGCTCCAAGTAACAACTAAAAATATAAATATAGCACGCTCCTGCTGGAGATGTGTGACTCGGAAAAGAGACATAAATCTTCTAATGAGCATTTCAGCCAAGTCCCGAAGCTGAGCCCTGCAGGAAAGCTGTCTGTCACCTGGAGCCCCATGTGCCCTGAAGCCTTCGGCACTGTGGCCCTGGCTCAGACAACACAACCCCCATTTAACTGACCGTTCCCAGCAGCCCATGAAAGGAGACAGTCTGGGGTCAGCATTTCCATGCGAGAGGGATTCATTTACTTCTGATTCACCACTTCATCCTGCATCATGAATTACTATAAAAAATTACCATTTCTGACACCTCCAATCTCAGCTTCCCTGATGAAGGTGAATAAAATCCTACCGAAGCCTTGCCTTTGTGCATAGCTGAAGTGATTTAGATGCAGGGCTACCAGATCACATCACGAGAAAGGCTTCAGGAAGAAAACTCCTGGAAGCACGGGTGAGCAGCAGCAGAGAGCACGAAGCCTTTGCTCCGGAGACGGGAGGCAGCGGCGTCTTCAGCTGTGCGCAATCTTGGGCTGTTCCAGAGCAGCAGCCGAAATTGCCAGTGAAGCAGCAGGCACGGGACGTCTCTTGTGCGAGTTACACAGATGTCTGCAGCGATGGAAATAGTGCCTGTCTGTGGTTTCTGCAGGGGGACGGAGGGGACCAGAAGAATTGACTGGGACCCAGTTCAAGAAACCACAAGGAACTGATATCTGGGCACCGTGGTTGGTCCACACAGAGCACAGTATTTGGTGGCCAAACAGAAAAGTTATTCAGAGCCACCTCCACAACAAACAAGAGTTATGTGAATGGCGGATGAATAGGGGCACTTACAGGGCTCTTTTCACAAAGGAATCGGCCGCCAACTGCCCATCGCCTCAGGACCAAGTTGCCTTTAAAGAAACCCAGCACAAGGCTATAAAATAACAAATATGATGCACATTTCATTTGAAAAGGCACTTCCAGAGAGAAGTTCTCCAGTTTACTTTCTACAGCTTTCAACCACCACTTGTTAACTAGTAAATAATTCTCTGTCCCTCTGCCCATGGTGCCTACATGTTGAAGAGTGATCGCCCTCACCCCAGCCTGTCCCCAGCGCTCTCCATCGGTATGACATCGAATCATAGAATTAAGGTTGGAAAAGACCCTTAAGATCATGGAGTCCAACCGTTAACCCAGCACTGAGCCTTGTTGAATCTCATCCAGTTGGCCCCGGCCCATCGATCCAGCCTGGCCAGGTCCCTCTGTAGGACCTCCCTGCCCTCCAGCAGATCGACACTTCCACCCAACTTGGTGTCATCTGCAACACATGATGTACACATGACGGTGTACATCCAAGTTAGCCAACAGCAAAAGCCCATTCCCCACTTTGCACAACAATATAGTCAACTCAGGGGACATCATCTGCAGAACAGCTGCTGCTGCCCAGCCAGAAGCCATGGGGAGAAGAGGGTTCTACATGGCAGACACCTGATCTGCAGATGCTTTCATCAAGCGCTGGTGACCACGGCTGAAGGAGAAGCTCCCACTGCCTCCGATCAGCAGCAGTCTCTCCACCCATCCCTCCTGGGGTGCCAGGGTCACTTCTGCATTTCAGGGTTGCCCATGCAGTGATCAACCTCTCAAGAGCTGTGGGGACACAAAAGCTCTGAATATACACAGATGTCCTTCAACTTGTAAGATCTTTTAGCTGGAACCAGACTTCTTAGGCTTTCCCTAGATATTCTGACCCTGCAGAAACAGCAGTGACCTCCCACCCACCGTTTTAGTGGCTGTCCTACTGGGAAAGGGAGGACAGGCAGGACAACGATGCTCCCAATACAGTTGCCAGCTGATGACGCCCTCCAGGGTTTCTTTCCAACAGCGTGGACAGTGATCAAGCAAAAACCAAGAGAAAAATCTAACATCAATACCTCTTTTCTCTCCCCCTGCAAGACAAACCAATCCCAACAGCAGTGCTGGGCAGCTCAAATTAGCATTCTCCTGAGTCCCTCAAACGAAACATGGTCCAACTGCTCTTTCTTCTTCGTATCAGCAACTGCCTTTGGCGCTCAAAAGTCACTGCTGGGACCTGCTCCATGTCACAACCAACAGAGGAGTCCCTTCAGAAAGAGCAATGCCTCTCCAGGATCCCACAGAAAGCCCTTTCCCTGGAGCGGGAGGAGAGGACAGTCTGATGTTCACAGAAAGTAAAAAAAAGACACCTTCCCATCACTGCTCGAGGTGGGGTGGGGATAGGAAGTACTGTTTTGGAAGTGGCACACCACAGCCAGCCAAAAGTCAAAATTATTCCCACAACGTTACTAGTGATCAGAAAAACAAACAAACAGCAACCTGTAAAACCTGTTTTTGAGCTAAATCTAATTATTCACAGAGAGCAGCCACTTTCCCCAAAGCAACTCTCCTCAAACCATTTCAACTCTTTCTCAGGCTTTCCTCCTGATTGCCTCCTCATCTATGCCCAACATACCTACCACCAGCCCTGCCTTCGCCATGAATTTCACGCGTGACTGATGGGCAAGTCATTTAACACGTCAAAAGAAAGTAACAAGCTTTCTCTTACAGTTACCCTGATCTTGGTTGAGTCTTTAGGGGTGACAAGATACAACCAGATAGCAAAAGTTAAAGGTCAATAATCCTGAGGCAGGACCCTGAGACTGATGTGCACCTTGGCTCTGGTCCCTCTGGCAGAGCCAAGCTTCCGTCAACGGCTCTCCGGAACCTTGTTCCTCTCCCCAACGCCACGGATTCAGGGAACCGAACAATGGGGTGCCTCAGCCCACAGCTTACCGAGCGTCTGCTGGTTGCGGACCCCACCTATGACCACGCAGATCTCCGCGGGCACATCTCCCGGCCCATCCTTTATGTTCTTCTTGGAATCTTTGGTGTCATCCTGCCAGATCACCTCTTCGATATAGTCATCTGGTACCTCTGTCTTCACCTTCACCTCAGTCATCATTCCAGCCTCTTCACTGGGTGAGGACTGAGATGTCACCGAATCGGAGCCCTCCGCTTTCGGGCTCCGCGGGCTCCTCTTCAAACACTCCCTGAATGGGGGGAAAAGAGGAGAAAACATGAATCCTCATTGTCAAGCACTCACTTTCTCATCACTAGGACATAATTAAAGGTATTTTCTTTTAACGCAATTTATTTAAAATAAGTATGGGTAGGTGTGCGTGTCTGTCATTTATGGTAAACAATTAAAATTTAACCAGACAAAAGTAATAAAACCATTTGCTAGGAATGAAAATAACCTTAATCACCACAAACAACAGATTGGACCACTAAACAAGAGCACAGAATTTCACCTGCTTCCTAGCAGGCCAGGAACACAACTCCAGCAGTCCTGGCATCAAATACTATGCCAAGACTAGTCCATACATGCAAAAGAAAAGCCATATCCTCCTGACATTTTTAATTTGGAGCTATCTCCACCCTTGCGCACTCCTCCATGCATTAATCTACCATCGCATCCTCTCTTTTAACACTTCAAAGCAACCTAACATCCTATGGTATTCGTATGGCCTTATTTAACATATACGGTGATGATCAAAGGGGATCATCTGTAATATAATGATATTTAAGGAGACTATTACGTTATGGACAGATACAAGTATCAAAGATGCCAGAGACAGTGCGATGGATGGGGAAAGGCAGAGGGAAGAAAGGAGCATATTTAGAAACAGATTAAGGAAAAAGTGTGTGTTTTCAACTTGGAAAGAGAAAGCTGGAAATTCATGGGAGAAATCAATCTAATTAAATAAATATTCAAAACCCCTTAAGAAAAGGAAGGAAACTGGACACCCCAAAGCTGTAAAACAACCTCAACAAGTGGCAAAAGACGGAGGGAGTTTGAGCACGACGGACAAGGACCAGGTACTAAGCCAGTGTAGCTCCTTTTCCAGATGCACCACCCCACCATGCATTATAGGCTCCCTGGTTTTAATACTGGCTATTAATAAATTCCAACATGCAATGCAAAGATAAAACAATTGCTGGTTCAGTCTGTGTAGAAATCAGAAGGACTAAATATATAATAGCTTAGACTACCCAGAAACAGAGATTTTAAAAGACTGTGACAGATTGAGAGTCATGTAAACACTAGGAACAGCCGAAGGTATTTGAAAACGTTTTAAGCAGAAGTAATAGGCAAAATAAAGTGAAGAATAGGCTGAACTTATGGATGAGAGTCATTAGACCGTGCATTAGCGAAAGAGAAGGAAATCCCATTGCTTGGAGCATCATAGAAAGTCAGAACAAAGTGTGAATTAAAATGTTAGAAAACTAACACCTGCAATGGTTTCTGATACGGGTTATGAAGCTGGTGGAGAACTCAAAATGCTGCAACTGCAGGCGAAAACGCCCAGCGGGTAATCCTGGGAGGACGGGAACGAGAGGAGCAGATGAACGAAGAGAACAATCTTCTGCAATAATTCCTGCACAACCTCCTACACGGACATGTAGTTGCTCTTTCAAAATGGGTCAGTCACATCAAATTGCCAGATATTTTATTATTCATCCCTTCATTCTCATTATGGAATGAAATGTACAATTAATAGCCCCTAAACAGCGAGAATTAGCCTTGACCTGCCTCCCTACTCATTCCCCTCCTCCTCACGCGTACTCCCTCCATGCACCCAAAATCATCCAGGGCTTTACAAGTGAGAAAGATGAATTAAGACAGAAAACGTGGCTGAAAGCTGGACGATCTTTATGGTAATATTATTGGATGTCCAAAAGGTCCATCAATCTCAGCCGACAGCGGCATGGCTCAGCACCCATTCTAAAGCCAAGGGAAAGGCAGCAGCCAGGAGCAAAAGTACAAAGCATTCAGCAATCAGCAAAGGGTAGGATTAATTGCAAATAAATCAAACCGAGAAGGTGTGAAATGCAAACACTAATAAAGGCAGCCAAAGCAATACGGTGGGGGGAAAAAACAGCAGAGCTTCCCCTGATCAAAATCAAACCAGTACAATTCCCACTGGCAGGCAGAAAGGTGAAAGCAGTCAGCGACAGCCAGCTTTGCACCTGAAATAAAGGCAAAATGCCTCAGTTACAGACGGTACAGCAACCTGTACTTGCCAGTCCTGGACAAAACAACATAAAAATCAATGCAGGAGCCAAGTGATGTGGAATTAAAAGCTAATACAACTAGCAGTGAGGCTAAGGATACGGCTTTCTGAGGAGATTATAAATTGGGTAAGAACAGAAGAGACCTTCTGATGGCAGCCGGCTTTGCATCGCGTCGCATTCGGATATAAAACAAATCACAGCAGTGCACGGCACGAAGCGAGCAACGGGCCACGTGCTGTGCAAGGCAGAATGCTGTCCTCAACGTGTACTGCTCCTGAGTACAGGTATTTCCACAGGGCTCCTGAAATGGCTGATGTGGGGCAGATTTATTAATGCTCTCGAATTAATTTAACATCACTGTTGCTAAAAATTACGGGTGACCCATGGAAGGGTGGAGAGCAATGACTGTGAAAGGAGCACCAACACCAGTGGATCCATCACTGTAAGCTGGCTCTGCCCAAGCTGAGCAGTTGTAGCGTAGTCAAACGTGTCCAGGAACGTGGGTGCACCCACGAACAGCACCCAGGGTGCTCAGCCGCGATCCCAGCAGGCAGGTCATGCTGCAGCCACCCAGAACCACGCTCTGACCTAAAGGACTAACGCGATTTTCAGATACACGTGCCTGAGACCGAACAAGGAGGTGATTTTCTCCCTGTACGAAGCCGTGGTGAAGCCAGTCCCAGCGTGCTGCAGACAGACTGAGTGCCCTCATTTTTAAAAGGTGATTAGGAAAGCTGCAGACGGTTCAAAAAACAGGCACTGAAATGGTTTGAGACTGGGAAAAGATACTTTATGACTTTGCGAGACCAAACAACTTCAATCCGTTTCTCACGCCAAAAGGAAGACTGAGAGATTATTTGATTGCAGCATATTATCATCTTCATGGGGAGAAAATACTGTCTTTCCTTAATTTGGCAGGGAAGAGTAGAGTGCGAGCTCATCACTGGAAGCTGGGACCGGTTGAAATGAGGCATAAAATATTAGCACGGATGGTGGTCCACTGGAACAACCATTTTCCAAAGGATGCGCTCAGGGAGAACAAATCTCTCTAAGTCTTCAAACCCCGAGTATCCGTATCTGGCTGGCCCCAGGTTACTGGGCTCAGTGCAGATGTGCACTGGCCAGATTTGGTGGCCTGAAACTGTCGGAATATATAAATTATTAGACCAGACCAATGGACCCTCAAAAACTTTGCTCTTCACGCCTGCTGACTTTCTGGATCCCTCTCTGCCAAGAAAGTAACTTCCCGGCTGGGCTTTCTGCGCGTAGCTGGGACCTAAACCTGCAAATACTGATTGAAAGCAATACTATTCCTCCGACAGTGCCCATATGTTCTAAGCCTGAGCAGGTACTTGGTGTACAGAAAGACACCAGCCCCAAATATTTTAGCAACCGTCTTCCGCATGATTTCATAGTACGGAAGCCCTGAAAGGAGCCTGTTGATCCTCTCAAAAACAAAATAAGCAGAACAATAAAAAACATAGCACCACCGGATTTTTACAACAATTTTACAACAAAGAGACCTCCTCTGTCTTCAGATGTTTTCTAGGAGAGACGAAGGCAGCAGCCAGCAGACGTACCCAGGCTGCAGAACGGGTGCAGACGTACCCGCGGCATGTGGCAGGGCGGCGAGCCCAAACCCGGCACCGCTCCCCGGCGAGCACCCCGCCACCGCGTGCACTGCCCGCTGACCCAGCAGGGAGATCTGCGCAGACCCACGTCCCGCGCACATCCCAGGGAAAGAACTCTAAGCTGGGGAAAGGGCAATAAATTAAAAGCATTAAGATTTTTTTTTTTCAGCTTATATGTATCTATAAAAGTAAAATATATAAATGTGTGTGTTCGTATATGCACAGACACACACATATATACGCATGTACACATATAAGAAGGGCCGACACTCGTGTCTCTGGTGGCATCCCCTTGTCGCACCCAGCTCCCACCCCCTCAGCTCCCACCCCCTCTGCCACGGCAGCCCCGGGACGCGCATTCTCTGCTGACACCCTGAGGTGCCGGCGTTTTATTGCATGAGCCAGATCCTGTTCCGCAGCACCGAGGGCCCCAACGTCCAGACCGTGCAAGCCAAAATGCAGGAAACACCATCCCCGAATGCAAGCTTTGCTGCTGACCTGCGCCAGGCTGGAATCAGTCCCACACCACCTGAGAGCAGTTTTAGCTACCTTTTTCATGGGCATTGCTGTTTCACTTAAGAAGGAAGAGCTGTGTTCTCACATTGCTCTTATTATTTCATATCTCACAGAGATTTTCTAGCCGCTGGCTGATGTCAAGCTTTAGCCAAACGTCAACTGCAGACTCTCTCCAGCTCAATGTCCAGAGGAACACTGTGGCTTTGCAGAATACCTTAAAATAAATGTAATCAAACAGGAACACAGTCCCAGCCTTCCTTCCTTCTCCTCTGGATGTGCTACACAGCGGCAGAGGATCAAGAAGACTCCGATTGCTTCATACGATGCACGAGAGGAGCATCACCAGCTGCTGATAGCAGCAAGTGAAGGCGATGGACCCCTCCTACCTTCCCTGCACATGGAGAATAATCTTCCTCACCTCCATCCTTACAGCCTCCAAGGGCCTGACAGACAGACTGCACAGGACAACTTGTCTGAAGACTACAAAATGAGATCCTGACAGGAGATGGGATCGACTCTTACCAGCCTCTTGCTAGCAGTGAGAGAGCGCAGTCCCCAACAGCACAGCGTCGCAGCAATCATCACTCACACAGCGACTGTCCAGTGACAGTTCAATCTCATTCTGCTTGGACGCTGCAACCAAAAAGCTCCCCAAGCGTGAAGGTGGGTCCCTGTCCAGGCCAGGAGGCACAGGGCTGACAGAGAGCTGCTGCTGCAGATGGCAGAACACCCAACGGAG